AAAGCCAAAAACATGCCAAGAACAGTGAAGCTAAGGCACCCAAGAGCTTCTTTGGGTTCCAAAGAAGAAATTATAGGGGAGTGCTGCAATTCATGCCTTGGAGAAGAACTGGGGGCAAAACCCTAAAATTCGAGCAAGATGGACGGCGCACGGCCCAAAAAATCGGGTAAAAATTTGGCAAAACGGAAATGCGGCAAATTGAACAGACTGGCAGGACAGTCTTCAAGAACTGGCGGGGTTAACACAAACAAAAGCAAGGTTACCCTAAGCAGTGGTTACCTCACCTTGCAAAATGGAGGTCAAACAACTGGGCCGCTTGAAACTGGCCCCGCTGTGATTTGACCCAACATCACACAGCTTCGGGTGGCTGGAAACAGTAAACATTCTTGATGACCCCCTATGAAAGAGGCTCCATGTAGGTTGTTTGCCTACATGTGCAACCACAATCGCCACTCAAATTCTCCTAATTCAGACGTGCCATGTGCTCACAACCATCAAATGACCAAGGAGAGGTGGTTCAATGTCTACACACGGAGTTGGGCCAACCCCTCCCCCAACCCAACACCTGCTGTGTCAAGAACTGGCCCAATGCTTTGTTCTCAAAGTCCCTCCAAAAGTGCCAGGGCGAAAAAAGAAGAAGAAGGTAAACAACAAATGTCCAGTTCCTGACTTTCAGCCCCCGAAGTTCAGAAACGACGACCGGGGGTACCACGAAAAAGCCGCCGGACCGCCAACGACCCCAAAGCGGCATCCACCCGATTTGCCGCCCCCGGCCCGGACTCGTCGTCGTAGCCCGTGAGCTCCACACCTCGATCCGGCCAGACGGCCAGATGGATCCGATCCAAATCCAGTTGATTTTTTTTCACTTTTTGCTGGCTCCTTCTCATCTTTTTTCAGGTTAGGCGTTGAAAAAAGGGAGCAAATCCATGGCAACTCCTTCTCGTCTTTTTCAGCTTGGACGTTGAAAAGCGAGGGAAAAAACCAAGGCAAAAAGCTGAGGTGATCCATGGCAAGAGGCGATTCTGCCGGGCTTGGCCTTGCAAAACTTCCAATGTGACGGCTTTCTCTACAGGGTTGCTCCCTGGGACATACAAACTTGGCCGGAGCCAAACCACGCTTTGCATCCATTTCGCCTTTCAGGTGAGAAGCTGAAATTGACCGGGGTTGATCATGTTGATCATCTAACGGTCTGTGAGCGACCAACGTTTCTCGTCCAAGATGATCTCACTAATTTGGACAAACGAACAAGCGGAGATACGGAAAAAGCGGGGATATATGGGGGGATTGCCTGGGCGGCATTTCCCATATCAAACTTAGTCAAGGTGCATTTAGGGGGAATCCTCCCCATCCCTGGTTCCCCCTGTATCCATGCCAGTTGGCTTCCCTGACTAATGCAGGCATATGCAAAAATCGGATTGGCCAACCCTGCATTTTGAACAGCCCAGCCATGTAGTACACAGCAATGTAAAGAAACGGCTTTTGTGTGGAACCAGCGGGATGAGTATAACCACACTGGTTCCTTGCGTAACCCAGGGTAAGGATTACATTTGAACAGCCCCGCATGGAGGGTCTAGAAGAAGACAAAGAACATACCCACCCCCGTTTCTACAAGCATGGGAAATCGCTGCCAGCCATCCCGACCGAGGTCCCGGGCTGTCCCCACCAACGGAAGCTCCCAAGTACACCTGCAACCAGAGGCTCCCGATTGATTTCGGGCCCTCAAACAGCCAGGTTTTCAGACCCCCAAACATTGCGAGGTGTCTAATGCAGGGGTCTGTCTCTTCCATTGAAAGTTTTAGGAGCCTCTGGGCAGGGTGAAAACGAAGATCAGGGTTCCGTCCCCCTCAACGTGGTCGAAACTTGGGCGGATTGTTCGCCAAAAGACCTGATTCGCATCCTTAGGGTTCCGCCTTTTGATCCCCTGTGCTTTTTATCAAAGGATGCCCTTCAATAAGGGGTGGAGGCGTTTGCTCTTGCGGGCCCTCTTAGCTGAAAGTTATAGGGGTTCCAACGAAGCACATGTTTGCATATGCCTTTTTTTGGCGGCCTCTCGGAAGCAAGAATGTATGGCTTGGTTCTCGTTTTCTCCCGGGTGCAAAGTCATGTCTTGCCTTTGGCCACCTTTCTATTTGCTGGTTCCACGGGAAGGAATTGTGTAACTCTCTTGATAAAAACAGCCCAATACAATAAGCCTCTTATCTGGAAATTTAACGCTTTGATCACTGCACGGTCGGACCAAGCTGTTTGCCGTAGTGGGACAATTGGGGTTCCATAGATCTCGCGGCAATCAGGCCTCCTTCTCCTCCTCGTGCAATGACAAACCATCATTTGGGTGTTTCCTAAAATGGGGGAACTCACTTCCTGGTGGATCGGTCAGAAAAAGCCAAAAACCTGTCATTTACCACCACCAACAATGCTCTTCCCAAAAAGTTTAAAAGTCTATGAACTCAGGGAGTGAGGGAAGCTTTATATTGCCAGACCCATTTTTTCGTGGACGGGACAAACCCACCTTGGGACCCACCCACTTCCTTTGCCAATTTGCTTTCTGTCCGCCGCGCCTTGCCAGCCTCCGCCTCGCGCAGCCGGATGTTGTACCTGCAAAAAGTGGCGCTGCACTTGGACATGCGGCAGATGTCGCCCTTGGGTGCTGGACCTCCCGTTGGGTGCTGTCCACCCAAAAAAAAAACGGGCGGCTTCCCGTCGGCTTCCCCTCGAAAAGGCTCATTAAAAAACAGGGGTAGCCTCAAAGAAGGGCAAAGCCCCGTGTGAGATGTCCTAAATTTCCAGGCAAAGCCGCTGGATCATCCCAGGTGCAAAGCCCAGAAACAGGAGCTGAGTGGAACTAAGACGCCTGTCGGGCGGGGTGGTCCTTGCGAGATGTGTCTTTTCCAGGGACTGGTATGGTACTCCACAAGACCCAATCAAAGGGTGGAACATCGGCCCGGAGAAGGACACAACCGCCCAGTTTCCTATCCAAAGGTGGCTTGGTCATTGCGCTCCCCGTTTCCTATGGCTCGCTTCGGTTGAGGGCTAATTACGCACAAAGCCACATTACGCGGGACAACCACAAATCGCTTCCCTTGGAGGTTCACGTGAAAACGTCGGTGAGAATTTGCTTGCGGTACTGGAGTAAACTTGGTCTTCAGCGACTGAATGGTGCAAAGTTGGACCACCACGCCTGGTGGTACCGAGTAAGTGTGAATTCTGGAAGGTAATATTTAACTTCACTGCCAGCTGCAGTCAGTCTGCTCTATGCATCTTCATGGCACCCTTGTGGGACCATCCCACAGCCCGACCGCAGAAAAAGACTCCCACTGAGGCGCTGGCCAGGTCTCTTCCACCTCCTCGCGAAGCCCCAAGAAACCCAAAAGTGCGACGAACCAAAGTCGACCATGGCGAGGACCCGCGCGGTATGCAAGGTGCCGCAAACTGGAAGGGTCCGCCTGCAGAACTCCCATGGTAAGATAGGACTTGTTAAAATGGGACCAAAACTGGGCCGTTTGCCTTTTGCTTGTCCCGGAAATGGGTACTCTACGAGTAGCGCACCCCCATATCCAGCCCTACAAATATCGGCTCGCAAGGTCTCGGGGCTGTGGACGCATCCCTTCTCTGGGGCGAAAATGAGATTCCAGCAGCTGAGGCTCCACCCCTTTCCTCCGGCGGATCCTTTTGAAACCCCGTCTCCTGACCCCAACCAAACCCACGGATCTTCACAGCCCAAAACCCAATGAAGCTTCTGCCCGCTCCCCCTTTTTGTTGGAGCCTTTTAAAACAGATACAAGCGGCACCAAAGTCCCTGACACAAATCAAGAACAAGCAGCACTCTTGATCGCTTTGGCCTTCGAGAAAGATCTGCTCAATGGTGAGGGTTGTGACGCAATGGCAGCGTGCCCGTGGCCCTTCAGGCTGGGGAGGTTTCAGTTTCAAGTCCTGCCAACCCTAAATGTTTAATATTGCGCAAGAGAAATTGGACCCCGTGGCCATGGGGAAGAGGCAGTCTTCCTTTCGTTGATTTTGAAGGAGCCCGCCCTCTCAACAAAAATAGACCGCCAGTGGATTTACATGGGGAAAACAGGGGGGCATTCTGTTTTGGTTGGTTGAGTTTAAAGGGGAACCCTGCCAAAAAAAAAGGCGCCACTGGGCAACTGAAACCGCAAGTGCACCCTGCTCCGTTCGGCTCTCTCCGCACCTCCTGCCGCGCCGCAGTCCGGGCCAGCTGACTGGCGAAGTCTCGCTCCAGGTGCTTCAGAAGCTCCTGCAGCGAACAGCAATCGCATCACTCGCGGACAAGATGGAACTCTCGCAAAAAAGTTGGAGGTGGTATTCGTTGCGGTTTCCCTTGAACCCCTCCCACCCACCCCCCCCCCCAAAAAAAAGGGGAGAAAGAAAGACCAGACCCCTCCCAACCTGAACATTGGAAACTTGGTGGTCTCCCTGCATCACTTTGCAGCCGAATTGCTAATCCCCTCCCCTCCCTCAGCAAGTGCAATACCTTCGTGTGCGAGCACAAAATGAGATTTAGTGGGGCATTTGGGTTATCCCTTCACTACCAAGTGCATGGGTCTGTCTCAAACCCTGAACCCCTTTGTGGTTGCAACCAACCGGAAACACCATCTTCAGATGGAACATAGTGGCGCTCACCCTTCTCCTCTACCTTGTGCCACACGTGTAGAGTTGTTGTGCAACTGCATTAGCCTTCGCTGTTCAATTGCGAAAAGCCACTAGCACCATGTTTCACACCACTGTCAATGGGTTCACCCTTGGCCCAAGACATCAAAGCTGGTGCCTGAGTTTCCACTCAGGAAAAAACGACATCACGCCAAACAAACAAAAACGCTTAGCCTGAGTGGATTGGCCCAAAAGAGCTACTGGTGCTTTTTGCGGGCCGCTAAAGTAGTCTTCCCCAAAACCAAGTAACTATAATGTCCCCAGAACTTAGGGAGGGAGATCTAGCTGAACAAGTTCAGAAATTGGCTTCATGGCCTTTCCTCGTCGCTCAGCACAAGCAAGCTGCATCTTGAGACAAAAGACCACGCGTTGACAAGCATCAAATATCATATCGGTTCCTTAGAAAGATTCCCATCAGTGTCTGACAGTTCTCACGAAATCACAGATCATAGATCTGCGAAGCTGGATAGAGCAGCACACAAGCTGTGGCCGCAAAATAACGTGCAAGAACGACAATAGGGCGATGTGCAAAGTCAGAAGTCAACAATGATGCATGTGTAAGCAGCCAATGCGAATAATGCAATTGTGTTGCTGACAGCAACGGGATGACAACGATGCCACAGACTGACCCGCTTTTGGGATGTCGTCTTTTGTGAGCCGTACATGATTGGACTGACAGGGATGGCAGCCGGAATGGTACAACCTTGTCCTTGACCCAGCCCACACCGTGGGATTGACCAAGCACACACCATGCTGTTAACATCGATGCTTTGACATACAGCACTATTGTTCACATGAAACCCAGCAAGGGGTCATCCCTCTAAAGGGGACTCCCCTTAAAATGCGGGCCGTTTTTGGAGGTTCCATATATTGATCTGCAGAGGACCCACGGTTTAGAATTTTGGTTCGCAGACTCTTGCCGCGACTGATGTGCTATTTGACTTCGCCTTAGACGAAGTGAGACTTGCTGAGTCTCTATACAACCAACCTTAATGTTTGGTCTTATGCGTCTCCATGAAGCTATAAAAATCTGCCACATCATGTTCCTCAAATTGGTAGCCACACTTCTCTAAGTAGGCCACTTCTGCAGTCTGGGATGCGCCAAGGCCACCATTTTGGCGGGCCTCTTTGACAGAGGTCTCGTTCGAGAGCTCCTCCCACTTGAGCTTGCCGCATCCGACTCGATCTTTGAAATAAAACACATGCAACGTTTGGCACAGGTCCACAGCATCATCCACATTCTGCTTCCATTCTTGAAACCACTGGCACCCCCAAGGTGCGACAAAATTTACTTCCTCGCACTTGCGCTGAGCCGAAATCTCTGCGTCTTTCTTGTCCTTCTGCCACTGCTCATCGCTTTGTCCCTCTCTTTTCACGAATATCTGGCCCATGGCCTTTGCGTCGCTCTCTTTGAACCTCAGCTCCTCCTCAGTGATCTTTTCGGTCTCTTCCACTATGCACATATATTTCGCTACAGGCACCCGGCCGTACAGCGCCCTGCACCAACACTCCCCCGGCTTCTCCGCGTTCTCCGCGTGCACGCCCAACCCAGACTCCCGGTCCGTCAAGAAGACGCACGCCAGGCTGCAGGCGCCAGAACGCACCTCGACCATGCGCACAGCAGCATCCCACTCCTTAGCCGAAAAACTCCTAACCACCTGGTCTCATTTGGTCAGTCAAAATCCAAATCGTCCCCCCAGTGAACATCCCAATCCCCCCTAAAGTAGACTGAAATAGGTGGCGCACCTACCTAAAAATGGTACCATTGGTTTTGACCCACAGCCATTTGATGAATACCCTCCGAACGCGGAAGTGCACGGAACCTCTTTTGAAAAGAAATGCGTGCCAAGCAGGTTCTCCGCATTGCCATTGTTGGTGCCAGAATATATGTTTTGGCTTCCAAACATCCAACCAACGCATCTCTCGAGCAAGCCCCCAACTTGATTCCAAGCCCTTCAGACATTTCCAGGCAAAAGTACGTTGCAAGGCGCCCGCTCTGTCGACGATTGAATGAATTTCAAGCAGCTCCGGAACTCAACGGACACTTGGAACACCTGGGGCTTTTTCGGCCTGCGAAGATCTGCGTATCTAGGCCCGTCTCCGTCTTTCAAGAGCTCGGGGAATCCGGGCAGGTTTTCCTAGAAAAGTCAAAGACATAGGCTGTTTCTTGCGCTACACCCAGTTTTGTCTAGAACAACCAAATTAGGTCAATGCAACTCCCACAAACACAAATCAGTGCGTTTAGACACCACAGCACGGCTCAACCCGGAGGAGAGTCTCATCTGTGCCATGGTCAAACTGCTTGCGAGCCATGTTTGTTGTGTTGCATTGACCAGCGAAAACCCCAGCTAAGAAGCTCATGACCATCCCTATCAAACCCGATTAACGGGGTCTTTTGACCAAGGCACGTCTGCATACCATCCAGGAAAACTGACAATACAGTGCTGTGAGTTGGGGTTCACTCTCCCAGGGAACGTGATGCGCTTCCCCTGTGTGAACGCCATGTGCGCGAGCTCCTGCAACACCTCTTCCTGCTCCAAGATCTCTGTTGGTCCGACGAGGCCACCGAGGACCAGGATAGACGCCAGCACCAAGCTGTTGTCCAAGGTCAGGAACAGGGCCGGACTCACTCCGATCTCGTGCCCAAAGAACTCCACTACAGGCAAGTAGATGGCATCCAGCAGAAGCAGGAAGGCGCCGAGACGCAACAAGCATGCGAGGCTGGCCGCCTTGCTGCGCAGATGGCGATCTTTCGCTTTGCGGCTCAGCATGTTGTGCTTCACGCTGGCTTCGTACAACAGGATCGACACCCTCACCGCTGTCATGAGACCTAGACTGCCCACAAAGAGCCCAGCGACTACAGGACTCTCCATGAGCGATGTGAGCGACATCGAATATTTCAACGGGAGCCTGATCAAATAGAGGAGCACCCAGCAGACCCAACCGAAGGACACGCGTGATGCTGTTGTTGGCCACCCCAAGAGTTGAAGCTTGCTGTATGTGACAAAAGTTTGCGCGATTCGGGTAAACCAGCAGAAGCCCATCAGCGGGCCATCAAACTCAAGAGGTGTACTGAGTCCCTGTGCGCTTGTACTCGCGGAGCCGGGGTTTTGCACGAAGAGGAACATTACCAGCTCCAAACCAGAGGCCGCCAACATGACAGCCCAGCATCCAACAAGGCTGAAATAGTGCATACAGGATTCCTTGTTGTAGCGCCAAAAAAATGGGACCAGACTTGCAGCCCCCACTGCAGGCCGAGCAAAGGCATCTGCCCATCGCACTGAGATGGGCAGGTCACCATACAAGAACTTCGAATGGCTCGCGGGGCTCAGAACAGTGAAAATATTCAAGGTGACCCGGGTCAGCGTGACGAACACAAGCAGCACAGCTCCAAGGCAAACCACAGAAGGGCGACCTTGCGGTAGATCATCCACACCAGCTGCGGCCTCTGGCCAAATTTTCATGCGCCTAGTTGACTTCCGACCTCTTCCATGGCACCCGAGGTTCCGACAGCGGGATCAGTGCAAGAATCCAACGTGAACCAGTTCTACAATCTGGATGCCAATGCGCTGTGGGGTTGATACTTGTCATGTCTTAGTCTCTGTCCAAAAGCTGCGGCAAAGAGTGGTGAGGCGGCCCATCGAGCTTCAAGCCCTCGATTAGCCAGAAAGGGACAATGCCATCATGCGAGAGAAGAGAAGTCTACCAGACCTGCGGTGTTTCAAACGCAACCCTCACACCTACAAATAAAGACAGCTAAACAAGGGGCCCAAATACCGGCGAGCTCATTTTAGAGCTCGACACAATTTGCGCTGATTGCATGAACCCACACCGCACGTTCGTCGTGAGTTCAGAAATTGCCACATCTGACGACAAGAAGTGCAGCATGGAGCTCATGAGCTTGAATCATTGAAATGGGAGTTTCTCCAAATTGTGAAACCCTTGTTGCCTAGTATTTCAAGGGAACCAAAGGGAGCCAGCCATTTGAGGGGGCGGCAAGCTGCGCTGCTGCGAAGGAGCATCGGGCCAAAAGGTGAGAGGAGAGGCCGTCACGAGGAGGCCGAAGAAAATGCGATGCGAAAGTTCGTTCTTAACCCCGAGCAAATGAGCCTCCGGTCAACGCATTCGTGGGTACCTGCAACATAATGATCATTCCCGGCCAAAAAGGGTTTCACCAGTGGGAGTCTCTTTCTTGCGACCTCGAGAATGTGCCACAGTTGCCAGCTGATTTTAGACTCTGCGGAAAGGGATGCAGCTGAAATCTTGTCCCAGTCCTGATTTGCCTCCTCCCCTTGCTGGAAATCGATGTCGCACCATTGCCTCCCATGTCAAGTAACCCCCCCCCCCAAATCGGTCAAAGCGTGGCGCCATGATTTCGAGGCGCCGACACTCGGACAAATAGGAAGGTTCCAGGAGAAGGGTTTTGAGACACTCTGGTTGATAGAAACTGCTTGGAGGAATTTGGGTCACGATGTCTTGGAAAATTCAGTTTGAGTTGTGCTGCATCCTGATATGTGCTGTGGGTGCGTCACCGGGTATTTAAGCCGGCACCGGCATGGGATTGAGGCCGGGCGGATCATCTCGATTCACAAGCAGATGCCTTCTTCTGACGCAACCATATGCCGCACAACGCAACTTATACATGCCATGTGTATGCGTGTGCTTGCTGCACGAAAAGGTACACTCACTGATCAGCAACTCAGAAAAAGCCCATCAGTATACCGGCCGTCTGTTGCTTTGTTGAAACCCACCTGTTCGCAAAAATCCAGTGCCCCTTGTGCAGCACGAAAAACGTTCGGTTCATTGACACCAAGGTGTTCCTTTAAATTTGGACAAATGCAGATATTGTGGCGAATGAGTCTTGAAAGCTGACACCAGCAGAATCCGTCCACGTATTTTGACCCAAACTGGGTTTAAAAGGATACATATCTCCACGCTTGAGTAACAGCCAAAGCTGTGCGAAACGCACCCCGCGGAAGCCCTACCAGACTCCAAATGTCGCCAGACATGGAAAAAGCGCCCGCCACACCCATCACTACAATAAAATATCCAAAACCTGAAACTCCATGATAACCAAGCGAGTTCGTCTTACTTTAAGGTGTCGCCACATAAGGTGTCGCCACAAAAAAAGAATCTTCTTGGCCCCAATCACATGTGAGGTGGTCAAAATTATTTTACTTTGCCGCCATTTGAAAAAAATAAGTTCAAAACAAAATAAAATCGTAAAAAGAAAAAAAAGAAGAAAAACAAGAAAAACACGGGGCCCCAATCTTGTTCTCCACATGTCCCGATGCCTCCGCATCAGCGCCTCGCGCTCCTCAGTGGCCTTCGCCTCTGCTGCTCGGGCCGTCGAAAACGTCGGCGTTCCCCCGAATTGGTATCACTTCCCTGAGTGGATTGGCCGGAGAAAGTCGAAATGTTTGATTTACCACTAACATAGTCTTCCCAAAAAGTCTGAAGTCCATGAACTCAGGGAGTGAGAGGTTGGTTGCGCAGTAAAACACGGGGATCCACGTCCGCCCATGCGAAGGTGTTCCAACCGTTGAACATGAAAACCAAAGTGGTCGGCCTCCAAACACACATACTTGAAGCCGCAACCCAAAGAAAGTCAGTGTGGGAACGCATTCACTGAACGTGCATCTGCAGGGCTCCGCTTTCTCACACTTGCTATAGGTTGATCCCTCAGAGAGAGAGAGAGAGAGAGAGAGAGAGAGAGAGAGAGAGAGAGAGAGAGAGAGAGAGAGAGAGAGAGAGAGGGAGAGAGAGACAAAGAGACAGAGAGACAGAGAGAGGGGGAGAGAGAGAGAGAGAGAGAGACAAAGAGACAGACAGAGAGAGAGAGAGAGGGAGAGAGAGGAAGAGAGAAAGAAGGATGGTTTCAAAGGGAAACCAGAGGAACACCACCATGTTGGCCGAATTTTAACAAGACCCCCCATATTCAATGAATTTTGATCAAACATCCCCTTCGAGGCGGTCCAGGCTTTATCAAGTTCGCAACCAACCTGGCCCATTGGTCAAAGGTACGCGCCAAAAGACAAGACCTTCGAGAAATCTGAGAGTCGCCATTGGGACACTGGGGGTCTGGTGAGGCTCGGCTTCTTGCAATTTATGCAAAAAGAAGCTCACACCAGCGTCCCAACCCCTTCCATTTTGGGAAACCCGAATGAAATGGGAACAAAAGGGGCCATTCGCATGTTTTAAGCGATGCAAACCTCTGACATCCCCCATTGACCAAAGATTTCTGCACGCCTGGGAAAATAGCACACACACACACACACACGCACGCACGCACGCACGCACGCACGCACGCACGCACGCACGCACGCACGCACGCACGCACGCACGCACGCACGCACGCACGCACGCACGCACGCACGCACGCACGCACGCACGCACGCACGCACGCACGCACGCACGCACGCACGCACGCACGCACGCACGCACGCACGCACGCACGCACGCACGCACGCACGCACGCACGCACGCACGCACGCACGCACGCACGCACGCACGCACGCACGCACGCACGCACGCACGCACGCACGCGCACGCGCACCGCACGCACGCGCACGCGCACGCGCACACGCACACGCACACGCACACGCACACGCACACGCACACGCACACGCACACGCACACGCACACGCACACGCACACGCACACGCACACGCACACGCACACGCACACGCACACGCGCACACGCACACGCACACGCACACGCACACGCACACGCACACGCACACGCACACGCACACGCACACGCACACGCACACGCACACGCACACGCACACGCACACGCACACGCACACGCACACGCACACGCACACGCACACGCACACGCACACGCACACGCACACGCACACGCACACGCACACGCACACGCACACGCACACACACACACACACACACACACACACACACACACACACACACACACTTGATATGAGACGGCAAACTGCGAATGTGCACCCCGAAACGTAGGAGGACGCAAGCACGGAATCAGGTTGGAGTTTCGGCATGCGTATCCTGAAACAATTTCGCTCGTGAGAGGCGTCCTCATCAGGGGTGCCATCGCCACTCTCGAGGTACTTTTGAATCAGCAATCCGCATGGTGGCACCCGACTCCAAAAAGGAAAAGGAAAAAGAGAGACACGACCGCAGAACCCCTTAGGAACAGGGGGGCCACACACACACCCCCCGCAGGGGGAAGAAAAACCGAACCGCCTAAAAGCCGCCTCCATCATGATTGCCGATGGGTAGTTTAGACGGTTGGCAGAACTCCTGCCTAACTGCCCACGATCATTTTACCGCGGAGCATCGCCGTCTGAGCTCAGGTGCCTTGGTTCGAGATGGTCGCTTTCTGGTGCTGCTCCTTCAACTTCCTGAGACGTTCCAGGCTCCTCCAGCGCTGCGTGACATCCGCAATGGACCTGTTGAGCTTCTTGGCCAGCGATTTGTACGAGTACTTGGACCGGTTGTCCGCTTTCAGGCTGCAAAGCTGCTGGTCATCTTCCTCTGTCCATGCGCGAGGTACTTCAGGGGGAGTTCCTGGATTGCCAGCATCAGAGTGAGCACAAGCAGGGGCTTCAGGAAGAGATTCAGGAGAGGAGAATGGGACCACGCAAGGAGATACTGGAGCTGGCGCTGGAGTGCGAGGTACTGGACGTGCTGGAGGCTCCGGGGAGTGCGTCCTCTCGGAGGACGTAGCACGGCATCGCTTCCGCTTCGTTCTGCGCCGATCGGTCCCACACTTGTCCATGATGGAGCTGGGAACATTGGTCTTCTTGATGCTCGGCTGACCGACATGGGTGCGCGCCATGGAGCTCTTCGGGCGTGGATCTATAACCTCGTTGGTCTCCCCCGTGACGACGCCGTAGGACAACGACTTGGGGTTTACCACCGCGTTGCGCTGGTGGTCCATGTGTAGCTGGAGTGATTGAGCGTCGACCAGCGGCGGGGGGTCAGCCAGATCCTCCGAGTTGACCGAATGCCGAATCCCGGGGCCAGGTAGTTCTGCCTCATCTAGTCGGGCATGGTCATGCGCTCGCGGTCGCGATGATTCTGCCAGCGACAGACCTCGGACGTGATGATGCCGCACGCCATCGTGCCCGCCATGCATCCTGCGACTGTGCGCCTCGTCAGCCTGATTCAAGGTCTCCTGGATGAGCTCCATCATGTCCGCAGCGTTCTGGGTCATCCGGTGGTGGAGTGCAATCATGCGTCCGAGCATGACGACCGCGTTCCGATATCGCCGAAAAGGCCCACGTCTTGAACCACCAGATAAGCTCCGTGATAAACCCATGAATCAAAGGGCTCCGGAACTCAACCAGAAAAACCCCAGCCCAACAGCCCAACCGAGTCCGACCCCGTTTGGAAAAAGGACCGAACCGAACAGAACCAGCAAGGGCCACGCAGCCGAACCTGAAGAAACAAGGACAATCAACACATAGACATTCTTTCCGGTTGGGATAAACAGGTGCTGCAGATCCGCTGACTTGTAGCCGGCGGACAAATAGATACTGCGAAGCTGATCCAACGCCATCTGTACTGCCCGTGCCGGGTGCGCATACTTGGTGGCGAGAGCTGACCGTGATCTAGCCCCGGAGAGAAGGGAGGAAAGACTTCCTGCAGTGTGGGGTCCTCTGATCTGCCAGATTTTTGTTGGCGTTTTGCAGTAAATCGCCCGGTCGCCTACGTCGATGACGAAGCCGAGGAACTCAGAGGAACCCACCTGTTCCAACACGATGGGTGCACCATAAAAGTCAGCGTGAAGCAAAGCCTCCAATGGGGCTGCTGGGTGACCGGAAGCCGGAGACGGGAAGATCACAAATCTGTTGTCAACATAACGCTCCAAGAAGATGTTGTGGCTGGCGAACCATTGTCCATAAATACGCTGCCAGAGAACTTCGTGCCGCGCGACGCAAATGTGACTGAGAACTGGGCTCAGCTGAGAGCCAATCGCTGTTCCATGGACTTGGCGGAGAATGAGAGTTCCCACCTGGACGCACATGCATTGGAAGCTGGATTTGACTATATCCAGGATGTCCTCCACATAAATGACCCGCGTAGTCGGCGTGCGTCCATAGGATTGCTTACCCGCAAAGACCCGGTTGTAGTGGACCGCCGCCTGAGTTTCCACCGAATAAATAAGACTAGCATGCTCTCGCCGGTGCTCTGCTAATAGCTGCTCCACTGCTGCGCACACCTGATCCTGAGGGACACTGTTGAAGAAGCCGACCAAATCGTCATTGTGAAATGCGAGAGTGACCGTATCGTCTGAGTTGTCAAAGTATTGTTTGACGTTCTGCCATATCCTCGGCGTGGGGTGTACCCCCCACGAACACTTCCATGTACTCGCGGCGATCTCGCCGAGAAGGATCGCAACCGCTTTGAAGAGCTGCCGGTGCACCACCTTATGGTAGGCTATAATGGTTCGCCCTGATTTCCATTGCTTCTTACGTTTGAGAAAGACCTTGCCGACCGGGATCGCGGTGGTCTTCTTCCTGTATGCCCATTTGTACTTCTTCTGCAGGTGCCGGGGGATGGCTTCAACAATAAGAGCCTCGGCCTGGTCGGGCTTCAGCGGAGTGGCGGTAAATGTGCCTGACTGAAGCCAAGTGTTGTGGAGGCCTTTGAAGTAGAGTTGGGGGCAGAAGAACATGAGGTGGTGGTTGTCGTGGTCCTCGTTATGGCACACAAAGTCCTGGCCGAGGTGTCGATGCAGGATGTTCAGCTGGTGCTTGGTGAGAAGTTGATGGGTGGATGCGTGTTGCCGGTGTTTCAGAAATTCACGGCGTAGGTGCTGCATGAGGGGCGCGTGGAACTGGTCCAGGGGCAGACCATGGTGCAGACACCATTGTCGTAGACGTTCGTGAACCTGCACTTCGTAGACTGACAGGTCCACATAATACGACGCCAAGGCTGAGGTGTAATGAACGTGCTGTGGAGTTCCGGGAAACCGGAACTCATCCAATCCCGCGGCCACATGGCCTTGAACATGAGATAGCCAGGGCTGCCGTTTTAGCCAGGCTGCGCACTGACACGATGATGGTCCGGCGGATGTGAGGAGGTAACAGTCCTGAAACGCCGAGAAGTTCCACATGACCGTATGAACTCGAGGATGAGGGGTCTCCGCCAACTTCGTGCTGGGCAAGTGGAATGGAAGAGCCCAGTTGCGATGGTCGAGAACAAGCCGACGAAGGACTTCCCTGGTGGACCGCTGATAATGGGGATGAGAAAGCCACGGTAACCGCAACAACAGGTTGATCTTGGGTTGTTGGAGTTGGCGGAAATCAAGAACTCTTCGCAAAATATTCCGAACTCGATGCCGAT